AGCTAACAAAGATCTTATAAAAAAATTTATTAGAAGAAAAAACCAAATATAGATCCAAAAACATTAAGAGATTGATTTAAGAAAAAACTATAACAATAATATACAACCTTATTCAAACCTTCAAAAAAATCAAAGAGTTTATAACTAATTAGATAAATGCAGTATAAAATAGTTTTTTTAAAAAAATATATAAAAAAAACATTGTAAAATAGTAATCAACTAAGAAAAAAGCAAATAAAATTAATTTTACAAATAAAAAACAAGATAAAAATATATCAAGTAATAGTATAACTCAGACATTTACAGAAGAAAAAAAAATATTAGATAATCAATATTAATTTATAAAAGAAAAAAAGAAGAATAATAAAAAAAAAATTCAAAAATCATAATTAGATTCAGTTATTGGTTTTATTAAAAAGAAAATAAACCTATTTTTTTTAGCTTTAACAGCTAACTTGATATAATCCTTTGGCCAGAAATTAATTTATAACCAGTATAACAAACCACTTTTGAGCATTCTTAGAAGTAACCAGAAGATGTCAAACTAAAATTTAAACCAACTTTGTACAAATATGTATTTTAATAAAGATGATTAGCAAGGCTGCCAAAGATTAAAATATATATATATATATATATATAAATACTACTATTTTGTCTTTGTGAATATAAAAAAATTAAAAAAACCTATTTGTTTCATGAATCTGTACAATTACAACAAAAGAAAAATTTATTTTGGTTTCACAAACCTTTATACTTACTAAAAAAAGGTTATTTAGCTTCATGAACTTTTACAATTATATTAAAAAAAAAAAGACGTTCTTCATGTGTTATAATAAAGGAACATTAAAAATCTTATAACAGAGAAAATTTTTTTAATAAATCGATAATTGTTAATGTTTGTTAACATTTATTAACTCGAAAGCCAATCATTCGCAATAATAATTGCGATTGTTTCTTTTGTGACATAACATGTCACTTATCCGATATGCACCATGGAAATGTCCGCATGATCCGAACAGGAGGATGGGTATGTACGAAAATTGAATTAACTGCGTAAAGAAAAAAGTATAATATTAACTATATATCAATACATTGATATAGATTTAATTTAGGTACGTAACATACGTGCGTATACATCTGTAAACAATGATGTTAAAGTAACCAGCTGATTCGTTTCACCGATAAGGATACTGAAGATATATGTTATTTTTTGCTAATTAAAGAAAAACTCCTGTCAGTGAAAATTTCATTGTACTGAATTGGATACAATAGCATTCCTTATTTCGATAAATTATTTATATTCGTTACAAATTATTAGTCCTTGCTTCTTAGATTTCTGTGTTAATTTACTACGTAAGAACTACAGCTGTTTTTAATCATGATTCGAGATTTGGAATTGGATCATGATCAATATTTATTAATTAACAATGGAGGACCACAAGCCAGAGTTTTATTCATAGTTTTTACTTTTTCTAAAAGCTGTTAAGCACTTCTCGAATTTTGAAGGAAACTTTGTCGAAAAATTTATTATTATTTATGATTTAAAGTTTTATTTTGGATGTGAAAAATTCAATTTATAATTATTTTTCACTTATCATATATATTTTCGTATAACTAGCATATCAGTTTATTTAAATCAATTTAACAATCCTGCTTTAGTCGCTAAATCACTCTTAGGCTCTTAATTTGAAAATAAAATCGAAATTTTAATAATTTATAGCATTGGTTTTATCCAAAGTGAAGAGAAATCCCGATTCCCAAACTCAAACTAAGTAATGTTGTCATTCAAAAAAGGGTTTGGGTCGCAATTCTGGCGGATTGTAATACCAGTCAACGAACCTAGTCCATGCTAGATAATAGTTTCAAATTAGTTAAATTCACCAGTTGATATAAATAAATCAATAAATTGATATATTAAAGGATGTTGCTAGTGCCAGTAAGGAATTAATAATTACCCCAGAAAGAAAATTTTCGACCTAGCCACCGTCCTATGAACGGAAGTATAAATACGACGAGAATCTGCTGGGTTTGTTCAAGTAATTCTTCCCATTCTTCGTCAGTCGCGTCAGAAGCTACATCGTCTAGAGTGTTTGGTGTCGGAGGAGGTGGGGTTCCTATTTCAGGTATTTCCTCGGAATCTTCCGAAGAAGGTATATAATTTGAACCGAAGTGGGAGCGTTCAGACAGGTTACTTATATAAGCTTCGTCAAGATAACCGACGTTATCCCTTGGAATTTGCGGGGTAGGCACTTCAGTTGTCGCTAGTTGAGACATAACTGGAAGTTAAGGACTGAAATGACAAAGCTTAAAAACGTGTATGGTCTTGGACTTACGCAATGTGGATTTCAAAATTCATATTAGATGACGTAAGAACACATTTGATCAGCTGAGCACACAACCTAACCAAGACAAGCCACTACGTAGTATAATATATATATAACGAGTGATACATTAAAGTTTTTTTTTTTTTTTTTAGCAGTCGTAACATGACGGGGTTAATCGGACAACTTGCGAATGTACAAAAGAGACTAGCAGTGCCTTACCGTGGTAGAAAGTCTTGGTCAACAGCCAAACTTATGAATCTTAACAACGCATTCACATCACAGGCACGATTCCAAACTACTATTGAAGATCCAACTTACAAAGGACTTTTTTATCACTCCACACATGATGCAGCCAACTATTCGTTATCTTTTATCTCTGATCTCAATAAAGTTGAAAAATTTGACATATCAGTGATTGGATGGATACCATTTCAAACAGGAGTGCCAAAGTTGACGGTAGGGAACTTTAAAGAAAATAGCAATTTTATAAAGTTCTTGCATCAAGTGATAGCGGATAATGTAGCAGACGCAGATCCTCAGTTGCAAGCTTTGGCCAAGTATCAACAAAATGGGTAAGAATTTACTTTAAAATATTGTAATCAATTCATGCATAATGGCTTTCAACCTTGACAGTTTATTTCTATTGTTTCTTTGAACCAATCAGCTGGCTTCATATTGCTGGTAAGTTACGCTTAACCATCCACAATAACTAATTTGTACTTACCCATGTACGTACTTCGTTTGCTGATCGTCAATTAATGATTAAGATGTTCGTGATCCTGCACCTTGGGGTAAGTGATGGTCTAAAAAATACAGGTTACCTTCTATTATGAAATTCCTGTTTAATATAATTTGCTATGAAAACAAGCCACTTTTCCATAGCGAATTTTCGTTGTTATCAATTTATTGTCAACCTATTTCACGTGGTCTGTACAACAAATGATGTTAGGTCGCATACCCTATCCAGAAGATATCTTTGGTATGGTTCAAGTGAAAGGTGGCCTGATAATTCCTGGGACATATCAACCTATGCCAACCCATCGAATTTTAACGACAAAGGGATTATTTATGCTGAATGTCCCATTTCATGAAAAGTTATTGGAGAGGTTAAGTAAGATTTGTCGATAAATTAATTTATAATTGCATTTAAATACAAATACGAATAAATTCAATAAAAAAAAGTACCAGTACATATATTAATTAATTGAATTTCATAGAATGCATATTAATTAATAATCGGCATCAGATACTGTGCGTATATCAATCATCCTGAAAGGTATCCTGAAGGTTGTCCAACATTTATTATTCGTGTGACATTATGTCGCAGTTCTGTTTAATTGATCATCTTCACAACGTTAATTATGTCAGACCTCACAGCCCACGTGGGAGTACAAGAGACAGTATTTGTACTCTGTCTTTTTTATCCTGTGTTTCTAAAGATCTTGTCACAATCGATAGAAACCAGCTTCAATAATTTCATACAAATGACGATAAACAAACAAAAAATGGCATGTGCGTATGCTATTCAAATACATAGTTATCCACTTTCCCGAAATTACTTGTCAATGAAAGATTCCTGTACTACGTCAATTACAATCGAATCATTACGTATTTTCACGAGAAAGGAGCCTCAAAAAGTGGGGTTAGTCCCATCAGGGATGAAGCTGTCTCATAACGCTGGGAAATTATAATTGTCGTGTAACTTTTACGCATCTTTGCCGGTTATTGTCCATTGTCCTCAACAATCCAATGGCTGACAGATCAGATTAAGTCAAAATTATGTCAATGATACCGATACGTTAATCATGATGCTATAAAAAACGGTAGTCGACCACTTGCCCCATGCAGGGTAACATGATGAACTGTTGATCATGTCCGTGTTATTTATCTTTAATATCAATATCGATATCGATATCGGCACTTATATTAAACTTCCATATATTGTATATTATTGTATATTATTGTATATTATTGTATATTATTGTCACGATTCAAGGAACAGTGAGAGAATTTACTAGTTTACGCTACCTTTAATTATATAATATACTGCATAATCCTTAAAGTGTTCTATAGTTTCCGCTGCTTGTTAATCTTATTAATAATGTAGGTAGTAAATAACGTTATCAATTTTAAGCTAGGATTATCAAGTGAACCGACCGTCAGGTAATCGAGATTCAATGATGCTGGGCCGTGTCATGCGCTTGTACAGATAAATGCTCGTAAAAAGTACTATAGTTACACGGGTCGGAAGGTCTCGGATAAATTTGGAAATTGTTTTTCGATGAATGCATCTGCATCACATTACATTAACACGCTTCATTAAGCCCACTATCATATCAAAAAATAGAAAAATAAACCCACGCCTTTTGACATTCGGTTATTCCTATCAACAAACCAGATATAAACTTTTTTTTGACCTACTTCTCTCCAGACTCTCACCTCAAATTTTTTATATCGACGTGCGAGCTTTCTTCAAATTCTTACATAATATCATTCATTTACAAATTACCTGAATACTCAAGCAAGCTCCGAACTTATTTCCTGTGTAAGTTATTTTCCCATCGCCTAATTCCTTATCCTAGCTTATGTCCTCCTTGCACACATTACCATTTTTTTTGTATTGAAAAAAAAGCAAAATCAAAAACCTATTATTTTATTTAGAAAAAAAAAAACAAAATGGTTCAGCAGCAAAGTCAGACAAGTAGCAACGACCTTTATAATCATAATGGCCATACGTCTACGATAAAAGACTTGCAAGCGGATAGGACTTCTTCGGGGTTTCCACATAATTCATATAAACAAAGAAACGGTTCAATAAGTACGAATAACAGCATATATGTTCAAAGCATACAACTTCGTCACCGTTTCATAAGTAATAGTCAGTCGCGAGAGCAGGACTCTTATGCCATTGCGGACAATGTTTCTCAGGCTAATGAAGAGGACAATCAACACAAGTCTGCTATGGAAAGTGAATTCAATGCCAAAGTATCGACGACACAACAAATAAATCAGGAAGTTCAATGTCACAACCAGAATATAATTCCTAAAATACTTACTCCCCGTAGTGAAAAGAATCTTTCTGAAGCAATATACTCGCTATATGAGGTATGATATTTTATAATAATAATAATAATAATAATAATATTTTGTTCTTAAATAATCTTTAACAATATCTGTAGGAATTACTTCCTACAAATGAAAGTCTTGAACGAAGAAAGCAATTTGTCGATAAAATAGAGAGAATATTAAACGAAGAGTGGCCTGATCACGAGATTAAAGTCAATTTGTTCGGGTAAATTATATTTTAGCTTAATTTTACAAGTTTATACAGCTATTTTTGTTTTAAGATGGTTAATTGATAATTTTTTTTATTAATTTATTAAAATATTATTATTACATTTTTTTAATTCGTTTAGATCATCCGTGAACTCACTTGGAACATCAACATCCGATGTAGATATATGCGTTACGACTCCATGGAATGGATTGAAAAATATAAATATATTAGCTAAAGGAATGAAAAAACGTATGTAAAATTGGTTATTCTCAACCTGTATCATATTTGTCATAAAAAGAACCCCCAATTAATCTTTTATTAATTAACAATAGATGGAATGCAAGGAATTTACTGCGTTCCAAAAGCTAAAGTGCCTATTGTTAGACTTTGGGATCCTACTTTGTATGTAATTATGTATGCTAATGTTTGTCCTTTTTTAATAATGCTAAATAATAATTTCAATTCTAAAAAAAAAAAAAACCAGAAATTTGGCATGCGATATCAATGTCAATAACACCTTGGCCTTGTATAACACACGGCTAATAAAGACTTATGTAGATATTGATTCAAGAGTTCGTCAGTTGGCAATGATAATAAAACATTGGGCACGACAAAGAGTTTTGAATGATGCTGGTACGCTTATGATTAATGATATATTTGGAATTATTGTTTATGTTATTAGTCAATTCATTACTGTTACTGTAATATTTCAATTTTATGAGGTGTAAAATCGAATCATTCCTAATTGTAAGCTCACAATATTAATCTAATAGCCAAAGGTGGTACTCTGTCTACATATACTTGGACGTGCATGATTTTGAATTTCCTACAAATGCGTGATCCACCAATATTACCGGTGCTTCATCAAATTCCTCACGATCCTAATATAATTAATGGGGTTGATGTGTCATTTTACGAAGATATCAAAAAGCTGGAAGGATTTGGTAATAGTAATAAGAATAATGAATCGGTTGGTGGTCTATTATTTGCATTTTTCCGATGGTGAGTCTTATTTCTTTATTTATGATATTATTAGTACTCTTTAATAATCCAAATAAATCTCGGTTCGACTAAAATTTTCATTCTTACATTGATTAGTTTTGCTTATGAATTTGATTACGAACATAACGTAATATCTCTTCGGGAAGGTAGGTACCTTACTAAAGAAGAAAAAGGATGGGGCGATACCGGTAAAGGCTGGAGACTTTTATGCGTAGAAGAACCTTTCAATACCTCAAGGAATCTTGGTAACAGCGCCGATGACGTCAGTGTTAATGGACTAAGAGATGAATTCCGCAGAGCAGTCAAAATCCTTTATGAAAAAGAAGGCAAAGAAAGTCTGCAGTCTTGTTGTGAACGATATATATTCCCAAATAATTTCAATAATAATAGGATGGTCGGATATTACAACAGGCAAGGTGGAAAAAGATCTACATATTACAAATATCACCAAAATGGCCGTGTGAATGGATACTACAAACAACGAGATGGTAGAAACATGAATGATAACAATAGTAATCTTCGAGAAAAGGAAGAGTCATCTAAGAATGATGAATGTTCTTATCAGAGATCAATCAACACCAAATATTATCCGAACTCGAAGAATGGTAATATATTCGTACCAACTCATAATCATGATCATTATAATCAAAATTTTATCAATGATCCGAAAAAAGATCCTGTGCCCGAATTTAATTGGATGCGCTCCAACGGTCAAATATATCCACCTGAAACGATTCAGATATCGAATTATTCTGAGAATGGAAGACAATCTTCAGAATTGAGTGAATCACCTATTAATACACAAAAGGCCGGTGACGAATCAAATAGGATACCGACCTACGCATCAGCACATAAGCCTACAATTCCATTGAACAATAAGCTTATCTGTACATCGAGTCAAAAGCATATCGGCCAATCTAATCAGAAATCGTTCAATATACAGAGTAAATCTATGGCCGGGACAACCCGGAATCCTGACCATGAATTAGAGAAAAAGTTTACGCGTGTTCCAGATCCTAAACCTGTTAGAGAGATGAAATCAAGTTTCAATCACTTATCTAACATAAATTCAGTTCATGATCCTGACAAACAATCCAGTTCAAATCTCGGTTGCCAAACGACTCAAGCTTCGAACACCAGACCTGGTCAAACATACAACAAATCAGCAAATTTGCACGCGAAGCCATCTTGTCATTCATCGAGGCCTAACGAGGAGTCTAATTATAAATCTTATGCATATGGTGGGTGTGGTGAGAATAATACACTCTTTAAGAATCATCAAAATTTAACACCACCCAAAATCAACGGAGGTCATGTCCAGCTAACAATACATCAAATGTTTGACAAAAAACCGATACATCCAGTCACAGCTACTTATATACCTCCGAACAACATGTCGATTTACTCGTCACATGTTCAGAATCATAACTCGCAACCACCCGAAAATTTCACTACGTTTCAAAGACGTCTGTCGCATCAATCATCATCCGACGGTTCGAATAGTCATACTAGTGTTAATAGTAGCAACACAAGTTATAGTAGTAATGGCTATCAACAAAATGTCAGTTCAAGCAAACCTAGGGACAATTATTATTCCAACAATCATCAGCATAATGGTTCAAACTTTGGCAGAAAGAAGCGGCAATATAATAATTCTGGTAACATCGATAATGGCAACGGACAAAACTTTCAAAGTCGTAATTTATCAAACGAGTCAAATTCGGTTCTTACATCTGTGAACTCGGTTAGAAACAGTAACAATTCGACAATCTCCAATCAATCCGTTTCCAGCACGCAAAATGAAGGCATAATATCGAATTATTCAACATCGCCAAAGTTAAATCATCATACAATGCCCAAAGGACAAAATAGTAACGTGAGCTATAATACCAATGGATTTAAACTTTATAATGGAGTTAACAACAATAGTTCGACATATAGTTCAGTTATGCCCCGTAACAATGTTCATGTCATGAAGGCGATGAATGGCGGCCACTCCAATAATTATAATAATAATATTCATAATAATAATAATAACAATAATAATAATATTAATAATAATTATCATTTGAAGGGGAATAATGGAGGTAATCAGAGTGGCTATTTTAATGGCTGTAAGGAAATGAAATATGATATGAATAGTGAAAATCTCTCTAGCGGGCAAAAAACGATGAATCACGGTCATCACTCTAATTATTTAAAGACGTCAACTAATGGGCATTCGAATAATAGTAATTATTCCAACGGAATGAAGTCAACAAATGGTTACCAGAATAATCATTATGCCAACGGTTCAAAATCAATTAATGGTGGCAATCAGACTGATGGGAATTACGCGCATGGATCAAAAGTTACAAATGGTAGTTATCCGAACAACGATAGTTGCCCTATTAGACCAATTTCCATTAATGGCTCTCACTTTGGAAACAACAGTAGTAATTATTCAGAGGTTCTAAAAATGTCAAATAGTGGTGCTAACAATAATTATGCCAACATTGCAAAGTCTATGAATGACAGTAATCAGAATAATCAGAACTCTGTTAAATACAGCAACAATAATTACTCCAATTATGGATCTCGATCTATCAGTTACGATAACATGAATTATGCCAGGGATACCAATAATTCTAATGTGCATAAAACTTTTGATGGAAATAGTTTTAATGCGTCAAAGACCGCTAATAATTCCAATTCCAACAGTCAACGAAATAATGTCCAGTATCGTAAGAATCAAAATCAGAATCGAAATGGAAAAAACAAAAAAAACAACAGTCTTCAAAAAGCTGATAAAAAAGATGATAATGCGATTGTGCAACATCAAATTCCACATTCCATAGCAACAATATCACAACAGCAGGAGACTGGATCAAAACAAAAAAATAATCCTGCACGTTTGAAAGGCGGTAAAAGTAGTTTCCGAAAATCGAATGGCAACTACCAGAACAATAAACCGAACTGTGTAAACGGCGGTAACTTTGTCGTTAACCCTAGTCGGTAAAAATATATATTATTTTGAAGGAAAAAGGTATATTTCATTGCCATGATTCAAGAGATTGAAACGAGAGATGAAAAATACTTTATATAGACTTATTTATTCAGAGAAAAAGACTCCAAGTGTATTTTTTTTTTTTTTTAGATATTGTGATTTCTTTTTCTCTGAATAGTTGTAATTTTCTTTTATCATACAATCACGCAATAAGATACATTCTTTATTCCCGGTTGGGTTATATTACACTGAGGTGTTTAAATATAAAGCGTTTATTTACAAAACAAAAAAGCTTTTCTAAATGAAAAGTATATAAATCTTAATTTTGTAATATCTTTTTTCCTAAGAAAAAATTTTTATTTTTGTTTATATATATATTCATACAAGTATTGTGTGAATTTCTTAGGATTGATTAGAAGTTCGTACTCTTTCCCTGTCTCTGTACAGTTTTTTAAGTCATTAGTATTTTGGGAAGATCTTTGATTCGTTGCTCGGTATATAATATCTTGATGATATTTTTAATACTGTACTTATTTTTTTTTATATACACTTTCGACATAGATTTTTATATATAAATTTGTTTAAAATCATTATATAATAATTTGTATATATTTTATAAATATAAATTTATTATACTATTAATGTTCATTTTTGAACACAAAAAAAAAAATATTAAAATGTGTGCAAGTGGTGATAATTAATATTTCATTGCTACTACAAAAAGCAAGATAATTCCTTCCCACTATATTATTTAACGAATTACAACAAATGTATTTTGCGAGCATGTACAATACTCCTTTACGTGTCTTTTATTAAAATAATAAAATCAGAAATAAAACGAGCGAATAATCATTTTAATTCTTTCACGGCATTTTCGATCGCTTTTAAGTCCTCCTTGAGCACCTTTTTATATGTTAAGCCTAGCTTTTCATAAATTCGGTTTAAATACTCGTTGAATTGCTGTTTGTGCCCTCCCAATCGTTCAATGAGGCCTCGCTAAAATTGATGTTGATTCGATTATATTGAGCCGATTTCTTTGCTAGCTGTTATTGACGACTTTTCCTTCTCTTTATTTCATTCACTTTTATGTATTTTATCTTATTTTTATCAATGAGATTTTTAGAAACACATACTTTAAAATAAATAAATAAAAGACTGATTTTTATAATAAATAAAAAAATGTGTTAGTTTGTCCCTATCAACCGAATCTTGATATTAGTTGTTTGACCTACGATAAAAAATTTTCTAATCGAGGTTCTTCCTCACAAATTGTGGAAGGAAAAAAGAGTTACAAACTCACCGTGTGCAAATACAAACGATAAATTTAAATTTCAAATTTATAAAACATTTAGATAGAAAAGGGAAACTTTCTTCTAAGTTTTTTAAATTTTAAAATTAAAATAAAAATTTTTATTAAATTTGATTTATTAGTTATTGAGATATTTTAAGTTTTAAAAAAATTGCTAAAAATTTTTTGCCTCTTCTATTGACAAGCTCCATTTCGATCCGTGTAAACGACAAGTTATTATTTGATACAAGTAAAACGATCCCACAGGTGCAAACATTGAAATCGAATTTTATTCCGACGCTAAAAACTCACATTTTAATTGTCGACAAATGCTTCGAATACCATTTAGAAGAATCTTGGTGTAAAATATTTTTAGATGAGATCATAATTAACTCGGTAATTTTCGCAGGAAAATTAACCGCCGATAAACAAAGAAATTCTCATTCACCACCGAAACCATCAAAACGATTGATTCGATTTTTTAATCGATGTATTGCAACATGATGCAAAACGTCTAGTGGATAATTCGAGTAAACGAGTCGTTGCTTACACATGCTCGAAAATCCAAAAAAGCTACGATGAATCTTTTGAATGTTCCGATACAAAATATAAATATTTGGGTGAATTAAAAGACAAAGGAACAAAAATAGTTTTTTATACAAATAAGCTATTATCATTCATGAACAATAGATTGCTTGCCGTTAGGAATAAGATCACGAAACGCCTGGTATTGTGAAAGAGGAAAAAATTATTACAAACGCCTCGTTCTATGTTTCTGGCCACGTTTGGGAACGAGCGTTGGGATTCCAAAAAACTCGGTCCATACCAGAACCCATGATTTTCGCGATATGCATAAAATGACATATCTCGCGTATGATAATCATTCGATTATGACGTCTTCATGTTTTAAAAAGGACTAGTACTTAGCCCGTCGTTAAACGACGGCCTATATGATACATAGTATGTTGTGTGTGAATGTTGTAAGTAAAAACGGAATTTAAGTGGATTCGTAATTTTTATATAAAACCATCGTTTCGGGTTGATTTTATCATATAAACACCTATACCCCTAATTTAACTAGTAAATTCCAAATACACTTAAATTACGTTCCTACTTACAACATGAATATTGCAAAGGACAGATATTAAACACAAGCTTGTATAAAGGTCCCGGATAAATCTCGGTACAGGTCATATTTTAGATTATCAATGGATTTTCAGAATAACTGAAACACGATTATGCAATGTGAAACTGTCACATCTGAAATTGTTTATCTGGAGATATGAAAGATCGACAATATGCACCAATCAGATGATCTACACTAATTAAAATAATTGAATTTTTAAAGTAATAAAACCTCAGGGTTGTGACCGAAAGAGAGCTTATTTTGTACTAAAATTTTATACGTAGCAAATCTTTTTTTGTTAGTACGCAAAACTAACTCATAAAGGGGTAACCAAAATCCCGGATCGGAATACCTCAGAATCGTGATCGGCGGAACCAGAATTAACCAATTTTGCCCATGATCACCAAAAGCTTTACTAATCCACTCATTAAGTAAAGCTGCCAGTTGATAATTTTGGCCCCAAAAATAGTTGACTTGTATTGCTAAATGCCGGCCTAAATTCGGTGGTCCCTGTAAAAAATGCAGAATTAGATTGGCCAATGGATCACAATGTGACTTAGAAGATGCCAATGAACAATGTCATCGATATTTTTCTCAGTCCATTGCCAACCCTGGCGCAGAAGGCTGTTTCATAAAGAGTCGATTGTTAGAAGAGATCTGATTGGGCACCTATGTCGATCTTTCATGGTCCTACTTGGGATAGGTTCGGTCATAATCGATTTTCTAAATACTGTGATGATTTTTTATTTATAAGCTTTTAATAGTTTTTTTTAGAATTAAATTCTGTTCATCCTATCTTATGAGTGGAACGAACGATACCTTCTCTGGAACCTAGAATTTCAAAATTTGTTAACGTTATAACCGGTTATTGACCGGTTACACGTTGACAAATTTTGAAATTCTGGTTTCCAGAGAAGGTATCGTTCGTTCCACTCATAAGATAGTATGAACGAATTTAATTCTGGACAACTTTAATTAAAAGCTTAAAAATAAAAAATCATCACAGTATTTAGAAAATTGACTATGAATAATCGTGACCGTTTGTGACCGAACCCATCCCTACCGGGTAGCTTAGATAAACTGTTCTAACGTTATTCAGGAATGGCACATTAAAGACCAATAAACCATAAGGTTTTTGGATCTATTTATTGATCTATTAGCTAACAGTCAATAGACCACCAAATGATCATTATCATAATTGCCGACAAATAATACTCTGGGTTTTTTATATCTCTAGGTTTTAAAAATTGATTAGTATTTCTCTTAGACCAAAACTTATTACGGTTAACAGTAAAACACGACGCAAGAACCAAACATGTTCGAGTATTAAACCCGGCACTTCTTTTACAATAACTCTATTCTCGTTCAAATTCAGTTAGTAAGTTTTTTCAAATCTAACGAAATAAGGTAGCCTTGAACAAAAAATGTTTCCACTTATCTTCATTTTCAATATGATTTGAGATTGTCCAATAAACTGTCGATATATTTTATTTTCTAAGCAAAGTTTGAGGATTAAGATCGTTTTTAGATTCTTTTGCACAGTGAACATTGACTATTCTCAAGCTATAAATGGTTTTGTGACGATTTTTTGTTAGTAAAACGTTGTCCTACCAAAAAGAATTTGATTTACATAGCCAATAATGTTTTTTCACGTCCTTGTTCTGGTATTGGTGGTGGCAGTTTACCGAAAATTATTTGTAATAATTACTAAAGTAGATAATGTCGAATTAATCTTCAATTTTGAACTTCTGTCGTGCTCTTGATGTATCGATTTGACAAGTCAGTTTAATTCCGAATTATTAAAGTTGAATAACGATAATTAGTATTAAAATATTTAACACCATATTTTAATAAAAAGAAAGATTCGATTTCAGAATAAATTATTTTAATCTTTTTTTTTAACAAAAAATCATTTTTGGATTGTTCGTTTGTTCATCATTATAACTTTAATACAAGCGTAATATTTATAGTTACCTTGTAAAAGTTTAATTCCTTTATTTCATATTGCTAGCGGAAATAAAAAAAAGTATTAATATTCCAATTATAATAATTTCAATTATGTACTCTAGTTTTGAGAACTTCCTCAAGGTTTAAATGTTAAATGGAAAAGTTTCAAAACAAGAATTATAGATTTAATATAGCACAAGAATTTCCTTCAACAAAGCTCTGTAGTACTTTTTTAGAGAGCTTGTTGTACACACAATGTGCTTAAAAATTCAAGGATAAATTATAAAACTGACCTTTCAACAAAACCCAGACTGAAAAATAATATCGATATCGATATGATTATCGCATATTTGACTGATTTGACTTGAAAATCTTATTACTGACCCTGAGATCATCAAGGGTTTTTTTTTTTACAGAGATGACGCACTAATAGGGTGGGACGATTGGTTAGGACTAGGGCTGTTAAAAACTCAAGTGTAACGTCGGAAGTCGACTTCAAGTTATACAAAAATCATGACAAATTTTCGTTTTATAGATTTTTTTTTTTTTTTTTTTTTTTCTTAAGCAGTCACGCTAGTGCTTTATTAAGATTTTGAAATTACATTTGCAATTACATAAATAT